GTGCTGCTCGTCGCCCGCGGTTGAGGTTTATATTGGGTGGCGGCCCGCCGGTAGCCGGGGACAGCGGACCGCGCTCCTTTGGTGCGGCCCGAATATTGCAAATTCCAGATGCGGGATGCTTTCCTCGGTCCGTTAGGAAAAAATACAAAGAGAAAAGTAAAAAAATACAGCACGGGCTCATTCACACGAGAGAATATGTAACAGCCTGGCTGAAACAACGATTGGACGTTGAAACGATGCAGCTCGGCAGACACCTAACTTTCGAGCAAGGTGCATATATCTCGTCGGGCCGGCCGTCGCATTCGGTGATTCCAACTTGAATGGGTTTGAAGAAATCGAACCTCGTAAATGCCCAGATGGATGTTGCAAGATTTGTGAGGCGGCTGATTCTACAGTATGTCGGGAGGACCCGGAGTTGACCTAAGCCTGAGTCGGAGGAGACCGCGTCACGGACTATTCAAACTCCGCCGCACTCTTCCTTCTACTTACCATCATCAACTTTCACTGTTCTCTCCGGCCGCCCTCGCGTTCGCCCTGGCGTTTGTAACCACATTTTCATGTGGCCTGTGGATCCCTCTATGAGCAGGATTTTCGTCCTCTGAGGACGGTAGGATTCCCGTCAAGGCACAGTCAAGCACCATTCGAGCCCTCAAGCGCATTCCGACAACTTTGAACTTATCCCCAAACGTTAGCCCATTCCAACTATTTTAATGCTCACTCGCCTTCCCGTCTCACCGTTGTGTTGCTAGGTTTCAAGTTCTATTTCACCCGGTTATCAATTTCGCAATTGGACATACGCGCCTCACCAGGCCAAAAAAGCGTCGGCCTCGGGGGCCGTTTGCGTGCCCTCTCACGCACCGGTAATTGCCTGTGCGGTCCGGGAAGCACTTCCAGGCACTGTGAGGTACGTGAATACAAATAAGAGTTTTCCTGTCCGTGACGCCGTGTACTTTTAGTGAATTGCTTGCCTCGTTGTGGAGCTACCATCACTTCCCTGACATGCGATCCGACTCGGACCCGCAAAAGCTCCATATGCATCCGATGATATCCCACAGTTTCGTAACTTTTACTCCCATTGCCGATTTCATTGCAAGCCCAGTAACTCCTCTGTCCATCGTTTTTAGCCCTTCGTTGGATCTCACATGACCCGCCGATGTACCCACTCATACGGTCCCCAGTTCAATGGCTCCATGAGCTAACACAGTGAGTCCAAATTTTTCGGCGGTAAATGCTCGCGGCGATGCTGGGAATCAGATAAGCCGCGTGCCCTTATCTTATCCAATCTCGGCGCATCTCATTCCGATCTAACCTTATCTTATCGAATCTGATAAGCGTCAAGATCTCCATTACTTCGAGATGTTCCACACATTACTTTCGCCCGCACTGCACAGCGTATTTGCCGTGGGCCTGGCATACATAATAACACATTGCATGCAATTTCCCTTTCATCTCCCTCTTGAACAATCTAACCTGTATCGGTAGCGACCGCTCGCGGCTTTTGCGGAGACAGAATGGAATGGAGTCCCTGCCGTCAGACGAGCATCGGTAATCTGATTAGAAGTCTTATGACAAGCCCACGTACCAGCCACCCAAACGCATCGGGGTTATGCTCCCTCGTGGACAACTATCCCACTGGGTATTTCTAAAAATTCTCATGTCCCGCCGATCTATAAGACGCCTGTCTGCCAGCGTGGTCGTTCCCTTCCCGGAGCCTCATAAAGATGCAGCCCGCATTCTCATCCTTCGCCAAAGCCCAAAGCGTCGACCCCGACCGCATTCCGCGCATCGCCCTCGCCAATCTGTATCCGAAGCAAGTGTGGTATCTTCTGGCCACCTTTCTCGCCCTAGTCGCCGCCTGCCACTTTCTCTCTGCGATATACGCCCATTTCACTCGCCAACATGTTCCGACGAGAACGGATATCTCCTTGAGACACGGAGTCTCTTGGCGCCGCCTGCCCCTCGCGATCCTTGAGCTCTTCCGGACCATCACATTCCGGTGGTCAATCACCATAGCAGGCGCTTATACACTCAATGTCGCAGACTTTATCCTCGCCGCTTCGTATCTTACGATTATCTTCACATGGACCTTCATCAACTGTACGTCGCTGTAGTCTTTGCTTCATCCACCACTTATACGTTGCACGGCCAGCAAAAAACCACACGGGGAAGAAATACGATCCCAAGTACTGGGCGAACCGCTGCGCACATATTGCAGGCTCACAACTACCCCTGATGACGGCCTTCGGGATGAAGAACAACATCATTTCGTGTGCGTTTCATTATTGAAATCGAGGATCTCATTAACTGACAAAATCTAGTCCTCACGGGTGTTAGCTTTGACAAGGCGCGTTGACTTGCAATCGACTTCGAAAGACATCTGTTTCTGACAATACTCGGTTTAGCTCGAGCATTTGCACCGCGTGACTGCACGCGTCATCTGCGTTATGTTCTGGGTGCATGCGTACGGCCGCGTGAGCATGGCAGCCTTCGTTCTAAACTCATTTCTTAATCCACCGTCTTTAACCGAACATAGGCCATCCTCGAGTACGCATTTCCTCATTCATGGTCCGAGTGGGGCTTTATTTATAAATATACTCTAGCCTCGCCGACGACCCCTCTGAATCTTGGTTCCACCTCGGTGTTATGGGCGCCTCCGCCCTGACCCTCCTCTGCCTTTTATCGATCCGCCCCCTACGCACGCGGAACCATGAGGTCTTCATGTATATCCACCTTGCGCTCGGTCTCCTCGCTCTAGTCGGCGCATACATTCATTCCGCTGAATTCGGGTGAGCCGTCCCAGCAACTCACTTCACCGTGCTGATCGATTATGGTGCGCATGTAGATACGGCCACTACATCTGGCCTGCGCTCTTCCTCTGGGGACTCGACCGCACCCTCCGCCTGACGCGCATACTGCTCGTCAACTCGCAGCTCTTCAACAAGAAGCAACCGCAAGTCACATCGGACGCCACCGTCTCCATCCTCTCCCCCCACTTCCTGCGCATTTCAGTCGACGCGCCACCGTATTTCCGATGGTCCGCTGGGCAGAGCGTATACATCACGATGTGCAAGGCGTATGCGAGGTCCGTGACGGAGGCCCACCCATTCACCATCGCGAACGCCCCTCGAGACGAGTGGACGAAAAGCGATGAGGGGGTGTCTTCGTCCGAGGAACACTCTAAGGAAGGGACAGTCATCTCGAGCAAGGAAAAAGAGTCTAGTGAAGGGCTTGGATCTGAGGACCGCCGGCAGCTGATATTCATCCTTCGTGTTCGGGCGGGCTTTACGAAGCGTTTGCTTGATTCTGTCCTCGATACTCCCGATAGCGACAGCGTTACCAAAACGTTCAAGGCTTTCGTCGATGGGCCTTACAGCTCGCCACCCTCCGTGAGGGGGTTCGACACGGTCGTGTTCATCTGTGGTAAGTTCTGTTCTTCATTTGACGGAAGGACTTGCACTAATTTCTACTAGGCGGTTCGGGAGTTTCATTCACATTGCCTTTGCTACTTGATGTGTTACAGTGCGTGTTCCCAGATTCTATGCATGTCATCTTATTCAGGTTGTTTTCACAGGGCGGCGCGGGCTAACGCGAATCCCCGTTGCAAGCGTGTCGTCTTCGTTTGGGCGATTCGGGACCCCGGTTAGTCTCAGTGATGCATTCTCAACACAACACTCACAATTTCATCGCAGACCAAATCGAGTGGATCGCGGACGCCGTTACGCATGCGCTGCTAGGTATCCCTTCTGGAGATAACCCCCACGCCATCGACGTCGACATCCGGCTGCACGTCACCGCTGCGCCGGAGTATACGCAGTCGTTCGACGGTGAGGAGCGCTCCTCCATTGCTCCCGACCCCGAGCTCGCCGGAAGCACCGTGGCAACCGACTCGGACCCCGCGATAGCGCGGGTCGACAACCCGGAGTCACCGACGAAGCAGCGGTTATTTTCGCTTCCGGGTGTGGTACTCCTCCAGGGCCGTCCGGACATTCAGAAAATTATAAACACAGAGATAAATGGGGCTCGCGGAGCGGTCAGCATTAATGGTACGCACCCTGCACGTTGAACGAACCCGAATCAACTTTCTTGAAGTATGTGGGACAACCGAGCTCGCACAGAGCGTGCGTGATGCCCTTAGAGGCGGAATCGGGCGGTTCTTGGACGTATTGCACGGAGGCCCGAGCGTCGTGCTGCATGTTGAGGGGTTCGGGACTTCGTGAAGCATTTGGGAGTTTGGTACACCTTATTTAGATCAGATGAAGTTGAGCCGCTGAGTACAATGTAAAGGTCCTGCCAGTGAATATGAAGCACGAGCTGCGTTCCAAAAAGCGTGAGGAGGAGGTAAAGTTGCGACGCGGAAGGAGATTCGGTGGACGACATAAAGTGAGGATTCTCCTCTCCACACGGAAACTGAGAGCGAGGAGCGAAACCTGAGATCCGTGCATCGCCGCACACTCTGCCTATCGGCCTGTGGTACGGCCATCTGTTATTGCTTCACGGCGTGCTCACAACCCACTTATTTTGTTCTCCAGAGCAGGATCGTTACTTTCTTTCTCCTGCGCGCTCGTGCCGATTTGTCTTGCTCTGCCTTTGGGTTTCAGGTGTGTACTTCCAGGCTGCTTTGTCTGTCCTGAAGACTCGGAGCCATCAGTTGAACACTGGCCGTCGTATCCTGGAGAACTTGTGCCAGATGCATGGAAATCCAAAGCAGAGGAGCAAACGAAGCCAAGATTAAAAAATCCGGGCCACTGTCCCGAGCGGGTCCGTCGCTGCGGCGCAGATGCTTTCGCTCTTCTACATTCGCAAGCGCCGTCCTATTCAGATCTGGAGTAATAACACGCACACGCGAGAGACCCCCTTTCCAAGGACTCTTAATGTCAAACTCATGCCTTCAAACTTCACGGTTCAAGTCGTTTTATTGACTGCATCACTCTTCAAAATTCAACCATCTTCACCATCAACGACTGTTCAACTATATACCACCAACCCATCACACAATATACGGCCTGGTGGTGTACTGGTAACATGCCTGTTATGTCCATCAGCGTCTCGGCCCTGGTTACAGCAGGAGTTCCTTGTTCGACTCAAGGTCAGGCCATGAAAGAGATCTTTTCTTTTCTTCATGTTTGGCGGCCCCGTTGATCCATTCGCAGTACAGAGTGCAATAGTGTGTAGTACTTCTCTGTTCTGGGTGTACCAGGCACCATAAGATCAAGACCATTTCAATCTTGCACGTAGCAACAGGATTGAATTTTGCCGTTCCTCAACCTCAAAGCCTGTACTGTGTCAAACAGATTGAACCTTTGAAATCGGGCCCCGGCAACAACCAAGATCCTACCTGGGGTTTATTTTCCTTCGGGTCTAAGTTAGTCATACTGAGAAAGATACTGACATCGGTGCCGCGAAGAACACCGGTTCTTTGCGAGTAAACCGGACTCGGGCTCTCAAAATCAAAGCCAGAGTCATTTGTTTCATCGTCGAGTAAAGACAGTGCATTAATTAACCATGTACAATATATTCGGTCCTAAGACATCTGCAGCTATATACAAATTCTAAGCTCTATCATCCACACTGTGCGCAGGTTAACAACCGCCTACTCCGCGCGCAAGCTATCTACGCTCCCTAGCTCGATCTTATCCGCCTTTGTCGGTCTCGGTCCCGGTTGTAACAGCAGGCCGGGGTGCGCAAAGTTGAGCGTGAAGATGGCAAGGACGACCATCCCGCCGTCGAGAACATTGAAGTACACCTCTGTGTGGATGATGGGGCCGTCCCACCCCGCTGAGAGCTCGATGATCCGGTAGACCGAGCTGTAATTAAATTCACTCATTAGCACTGGTGAATAATTTCCAGCGAAGGATGAAGGCGCACCGGACGAAGAGCGTGACGGTGGAGAACGCGAGCGCAGCGAGCATGACTTTAAGGGGCGTGGTCAGCACCTCGCGGCGGCTCGAGGCGGAATGGATGGGCCGGATAGGGCGATCGCGAAGGTAGCGCTGCATAAAGTCGCACGCGAGTGTGGAGAATAGGATTATGACAACTGAGAAGGGGATCAATGCGGTTGATTTAAGGTGAGATTGAAAATACGCCGCGTACCGAATTGGAATGCGATCCCGCCGAGCATAACGTGCGCACCCTGTGTGAAGGACTAGTAATGCCTGCAGAAATTATCTCAAGATTGAACAACGCACCACATTGGCGCCAGCGAGATCGTCCGCGCTCGAGGCCATGCCACCGCCGACGCCCTGTACCACAAGCGCAGTAATGTCCTGCGGCGCAAGTCAGTTTTGTAAATAGGGGGTGGGTATGGAGCACTCACGCAAGGTAGGAATAGGATCGTGTCTGCAGGCCGGATGTTAATCGACGACTCACGAATAATCGAGGAGAACGTACACCACTTGGGCGTGAGCCGCGAGTAAGAGGTGCCGAGCTGTAGGACGATGCGCGAAAAGATAATGAAGCTTGCTGCCAGCAAAGGAGTGGGAGCAATGATCGTCGTGGAAACTTGAATAAGAAACGGGGTATCGGCGGTCGGCGTAATGGAAGACCAGAGCCTGCCACCCCAGCCAAGCAGCTCGCCGATGCCACAGAGCGCCGCCGTTGGGAGAAGCCACCATGTGCGATAGTATGTAGCCTGCCCGATGTGAAGTACTGGTGAGAATAATTAATATTCGGTAAATGAATGAAGGGGCGCTGCGCTTAACTGGTGCTGATCCCATACAACGCAAGGAAAATGATGGCTACGGCCTCCTGTGGTATGTATCCGTAGTGTTCGTCGGCTGCGGCCGTCGCGTCGTCCCGCTTCGCGAGTCCAGAAATAGCGGCTACTGGGACGCAAGATGTGAATACGGCACAGGGGGATGAGCTGAAACCCTACCGAGATGGATGAATCCAGTCATTCTATGGGAAGAGAGGTAAAAAATAGTGAGGACAGGCAGGTAAACCGATCGAGTTTTCAAGGTCGACTAGTAACCGCACTACCGAGGACTTGACAATGAAGTGATGACGCGAGACGTCGCATTGCGGCCCAAGTGATGGTCATCAACTTAATTCTACGGCATTCAAAGCCGGCTCCGCAGCAATCCTGACGCAAGATTGACTTTTGGGGAAGTTTCAGTCCAAACGCAGCCATGGGCTGTGTTATGAGTGCTACCGCCGATATCAGCATGTTTGATTGCGATTCCAGAGGGTCTCAAAACCGAAGGCGGCGAATATTGAAGGTGGAATGCTGCAAGTACTTTGAGAGAACAAGGTTGCCATTTTTGAGAAGGTGACATTGCCCAGAGACCGCAGGATCCGTCGTCAAGTGAGCGATACCTGAGGAGATGCACCACAACACAGTGAATTCAGCGGATATTCTTAGAGCTCTGGAAGGCCTGGCACTGCAAGGAGATCCAGAAACCGTCAACTGAGGGCCCGAGACAGGTCACAGCCGCGAGCCGCCTCCTCTGGATGTGCCAGTGTTTACTACCTGACTCCAGGTCCGTCCGACTCCGAGTCTAACCCCAGACACGTCCAGAGGAACTCAAAGCGCTTTAACCGGCTTCAACTCCAGCGGAGTGGCTTCTATCCGACGGAGGATCTCGAGTATGTCCGACTGAGGGAGGAGGATGTTTGGTGATGTTGACCCTGATCAGTGTTGATCGCAACAGTTAGCCAACTTTAATCTTTTCGGCCAAGTTTCGAGTCTTTCGGCGTTTCTATGGAGGTAGGAGCAAAGATTCACTCAAGGGCTCAATGAAGTAGATCAGGACTAGGGGGCAACCGGGGCGTGATAATTTAAGACTCCAGTCTGTATGTGCTTCAGGGCTTCAACCTTGGTGTGGGGGGAGATGGGGGGCCCGGGGCCGACAAATCTCTGGTTGACCCGGGTTGGTAACGAGAGTCGGAAATACATAAGCATCCGTGAACCAGCAGGTTTCAAAAGGAAAACCTGGCACCCAGTAAACCATAATTCAAACGGGATCTAATCAATGAAAAGAAATTAAGATTCCGAGGAGCCCGTCCTTAGTCTGGCGCTCGACGAGCCTACAAGAATACAACCTCAGGCAACGAGGAGGGAGATGTTTCGCTGGGGACGGTAGATGCAGAGGGTCCAGAGTGGCCGCTTTTCTTGGAGATCAGTTCCTGTCAGTCACGAGTAAGAAAACATACACATCTGTCCATCGGATTCGGTGTGGTAGGGCTCAGATCATTCCTTAAATGACTAAGTGAGAGAGAAGGGCCAAGTCAAGGTCAGACTACATTCCAGTTTCGTTGTTCAATTAATTTTGACCAGTCAACGCCAAGGCCAGCGCAGGACCTCTACGTTGTGCCCGTTGGTCTTTGGCCAACCGGGTCGAGCTCGCGAAGCAAAGGAACCGGGTAGACCAGGGTAGACGGGGATGATGATGCCATGATATATTCAAAACGAGCCCCAAGATCCCATTCAGTGCAAATTCAGTAACAACGTCGGCCAGTCCGGTTTTCGCTCGGTTAGTTGTAGACTCGTTACCAGTCTGCCATATGCAATGCAATAAATGTGGCGAGCACAATTGCTACAAATATCGGCCGCACTTCTCAACTGAGTATTTCAATTATTTCAGACAGATTTGACATGGAGCAGACACAATGGACCACTGAACCCGTGGTCCATACGTTGCTTTGTAGTTCAATGGTAAACTCGCGGGTAAGCACAGACAAACTGTCAGTGGTTGAACCCAATGGGAACACCTGAATACTCAACAATACTCAACACTACCGATATTAATTATAACAAACGGCTTGCAGAGCTGTTTCAGCCGCAGAGACACACCCAGTGGAGATTAAATCATGCTTCACGCGCCCGACCTCGAGATTGGGATGATAATCTCATGTCGCGCATTTGAGAATTTAAATATCGACAACTGAACTGACTGGGTATGTTTCAAACTACCCCTATGATGGGTCAGGCTCCACGCAGGGCCCACTTTCTGTCTAAACATTTGAAGAATTCGCTGAGTCTGTATCAATTAAGTTTATATGTATCATCTTTTGGTGGCCTGGCAAATATTAATGTTCACGCATAAACCGTGAGGGTAACAATCCTATTGAATAGGACTAGTATACTGATCCTGGGCCATCTTCCTACCGACTTTCAATGGGACCAGAGCTTGCAAATCGGTGTCACAATTATTATTGACATGTTCCGCGTCACGTTCAAACGGCAGTGATGTAGCTGAAATCGAAACCTGGCGGAGTGCACTTCTATTGAAATGATAACAGAGACTGATTAAAAACATTTTGGAGGCCCCAGAACGCTCAAGGGATCAAATTTTGCGGAGGCGCAGGGACCGTGAAGTATGCACGTGAATAAGTTACTTCGGGTGACTACGGGTGATGTCATTGTCTGGCCCACAACAAGTGGCTGTGTGAGATCTGGACCCGTCTGGACCGTTCCCCGTCTTCGTCCTTTTCACGTTTTGTCTCCACTGGCACGAGCTATCACCGCAGGCAAAGCCCGCGGATTTGTATTGATTTCGAGTACCCTTACGGCACTTGACGTTCACATGCGGTTTTTGCCCGCTGTGTATCCCAAGGCCAGAAGACCGCGGCCTTAATTTCCCACTTCAAACATCGAATCGTGTGGTGAAAACTGCTGATATGAGTGTGCATGGAGGTAAGTACTCCACTATATCATCTAAAATGTCATCCCTTGCTCCACGATTGTTCGATACATTCGGTATTTCAGGACACTCAGGGCTTCAGGCACTGGCCTTAGACTTGGCTTTGGACCGTGGGAATAACCATGCTGGGCACCAGTGTTAATACTGCTCAGATTGGAGGGGAGACTATGAGCGCATCCCTTGGGGTTGAAGCTGTTTGAAATCCATTGCGCGGCGATTTCTTAAGAGGTGGGTTAGATTTAACCCGAGCGTTACTCGCCGATCTAATTCATCGCAAGGCCTGAATTTCTGCATCCCAAACACGCCCGAACCGGAGAATGACCAGACAATCGTGCGGTTCCAGGCCAGGCCAGGCCTTGAAGGTCAAGTCATCCCGTTTAGAATCTCATATCACCTGTCACCCGCCGCAAAGCTGTAACCGTTTGTCAACGATGCGCCCGCCTTCCTGTGGACTTCG